GACAATCAGGGGTCTATTAGTAATCCCCCTTATGTATGTTGTCTCTTACTGTACTCATGGCGCCCCTGCTTTTCACTAGGGAGATGTCGACCCCCCCTCCCCTGCCGAGTCGTTTCCTTTCGCAGGGAGTGATTTCAGTGTGAACATTTGGGACTACTCCCTCTAGGATTTTCAAAGTATATTATCATGTATCTTTCTCGCCTGCTTTCCATGGAGTACAGGTCAAGGGATTTCAACCGTTCCCAGTAATTTAGGTGCTTTATTGCACTTAAACGTGCAGTAAAAGTTATCTGTATATTCTACGGGTCTGCAATTTCGCCCGCCTTGAAAGGGGCCGTTATTGCACAGCAATACCCCAGCCTAAAGAGAACAAACGATTTGAAGAGAATCGTGACTGACTTGGCATCCCTATTTTTGAAGGTTCTCATTATCCATCCTATCATTTTTCAAGCAAATGTGCAAATGCGCTGTATGACCCTTATAGGTTTAGCGCTTTTTTATTATAATAATGTGATCTTTGAAAGTGAGATTCTCTGATATCACTCCAAGTTACTTCACATTAGGTTAGAATTTGTTTTATACTCCGATCCAGTTTTTATTTCCTCGAGTTTTCCATAGCTGTCACTAAAATTCATATTGTTTTCTGAGGCCTGTCTAAAGACTTGGTTAATGTCCACTTGAAGATCTGCAGTGTCCTCAATGGATAACATTGTCATGCATATTGTGGTATCGTCAGCAAAGAAGGACACGGTGTGGCTTACATTTCTGTCTATTTCAGATATGTGGATAAGGAGAAGGATGGGAGCGAGTACTGTACTTTGTGGAACAGGGCTTTTCATTGTAGCCGCCACTGACTTTGATCTGTTTACTGTCACTCTTTGTGTTCTGTTTGTTAGGAAGTTATGGATCCAACTACCCACTTTTCCTGTTATTCCTTCATCACTCTTTTTGTGTGCTATTCCACCATGATTTCACTTATCGAAGGCTTTCGCGAAAGTCTTTATATACTGCATCTGCATTTTTTTTTGTCCTCCAATGCGTCCAAGACCATGTCTTAGTGGTCCGGTAGGTTGTGAGAGGCAAGAGAGACCTGCTCTACACCTATGCTGCCCTGGGTTGTGCAGTTGTTGAGTGTCGAGGTAGGTGGCAATCTTGCTTCTTAGAACCCTTTCAGAGATTTTTGTGATGTGGGACATTAGTGTTGTCGGTCTGTAATTCTTTGCAACTGCTTTTCTGCCACCTTTGTGGAGTGGGGCTATATCTGTTGTTTTTAATGACTGTGGGATGACACCTGTATCTATGTTCCCTCTCCGAAAAATATTTAAGGCATGTGAAAGGAGTTTCTTGCAGTTCTTGATGAACACAAGTCTGGGCCCGGGGCAGAGTGCAGGGGTATGTCTGTTACTGTTTCTTTAAAGTCCTGTGGTGTTAGGATTATGTCTGAAATTTCTGAATTGACTAAATTTTTAGTCCCAGTCATAAAAAAAATCATTTAGCTTGTCGACCCTTAGTCTGATTAACGGCTCACTAAATGCTGAGTCATACTGAGACTTCAGTATCTTACTCATTCTCTTGTTGTCATCTGTGTAAGTCTCGTGGTTTTTGCCTAGATTTGGCATAAGAAAATAAATATTATTTTTTAACTTAATTTATTGCTTTAAGTTCTTCTTGTGTTTCTTGACTCCTGCATGTTGTGATCCGAGTGTATTGTCTTTGATACTGTTATATTTCATACCAGATCATTGTTATTAATCCCCTCAATGGAGGTTCCTTGACGCTGGTGAGGAGCTCCTGATCTAGAGAATTGAATCTGTGCTCCAATTCCCTGAATTAAGCCTACTACCTCCCATTCTCCCCTCCCCACAAGCGCTGTATGATCCCTACGGGTTTACCGGTCCCCATGATTATAATAATAATAATAATAATAATAAATAATAATAATAAATAATAATAATAATAATAATAATAATATAATAATAATATATAAATAATAATAATAATAATAATAATAATAATTGTTATTTGTGAAAATAAGGTCAAGTGCATTTTCTAGTCTTTTGGCGCCACTATTTACTGGCTTAAGGTGAATCGGTTGCAGAGATTTAATAGCTCATGTGTGTCCGAATTTTCGTCTGAGCTGCCTCCTGGGATTAACTCTACTAAGACATTATTTGCCACATTCTTACATTTTTAGGTGTCGTAAGTTGAAATCACCAGCAACAAGATATTTGAGGCTGGGGTTGGGAAATTTTTCAGACAGTAGTCAATTTTCAAAAGCTATTCCTCAAATTATTGGGAAGTTGTATCTAATGGCTTGTATAAAAACCACAATGACAAGGTTTTGGTTTTCAATTTTTACTGCCAAAACTTCAACTACATCAGTTGTGGTGTTCAGTAATTCCGAGCAAATGAGCGGCTCTGTGACATACAGGCCAATCCCCCTTTATTGACGATTCTTTCTGTCGCATCTGAATAAGTTGTATCTTGGAATCCATTTTCG